CTCCTGGCATGAGTTTCAAGCTGCCAGGTCTAGGACTCGAACCACGTTTGGCCATGTGGGAGTCTAGTAATGTAACCATTACATCATCTGCTGTTCCCCAGAAGCTAAGGTTTAAAAATATCTAGTGTTACAAATTAGTTTTCAGGGGATTTCTGTTCCACTGGAGAATGTTGCCTCTGGGACAGACATTCACAATGTGCTGGAATCAAAGTAAGGAATTCCATACATGTATTCTTTGGGTTTTTAAGCCTTCTAAACAGGTTTTGTATTGCCAGATATAGTCCTCAAAGATTTTAATCAGACAAAATAGTCATTTTTAAAAAATTATTTTAACTTTATTAGTATTATTTTGATCAGGCAGAGAAAGAGAGAGGGAAAGTGAGAGAGCAAGCTGCCAGGTCCAAGACTGAACTGCAGTCGGCCATGTGGGAATCCAGTGCCCTTGACCACCATGCCACCTGCTTGTCCCCAAAATAGTCATTTCTAGGGGAAGATTAATAAGGTAACTGATTAATGCCATATTCTATTATGGAAGTTCCCAGAATACTCAATTACTTTTCACTGTCAGCCTTTTAAAAATTCTTATTGCTCAGACTCTTGAGATAAAACTGTTAGGGGTCTTTTTCATTTAATAAGCTTTAGCTATTTAGAACTATTAATATAGCAAGCTACATGAATTGGTTTTTGAAAGGCTGAAGCTCCCTAGCATTTTTAATGAAACTTTTCCTAATAAGGAGAGGATTGTGTTGTTTTAATGACCTAAATAATAATGTGGCTCATAAATGGTTATTCCAAAGAATTAAACTTCAAAATCTGGAGGAAAAGTCATCAAGTGATGTTAATATCTTACTCTTTCTGGCATCGGCATTTTAGGGACAGAATGGCATTACATTTGTCAGAGTACTGATTGCATAAAACTTGAAGCCCACAAGACTTGTAGGTTTAGTCATTTCTGTTGTTTATGTCATTTCAGCCCTACACGTCACCAACAAGTTATTTATCTCAAGAAACTGGCCACATTTGACGAGTATTGCTGTCTGCCAACGTCTGCAGATGTGTTTCCGCCTACAGTCGTGTGTGTTGTCTGTGGTCTGAAGAACACAGACAATTGATAGAAAAGTTAATTTTCTGTTCAGATTTCTTACGTTTTAGAACTCTGCGGCTGTCTTCTAATTTTGTCAAATGATGTGTCTGAACTATCTTCCTTTCTTGAAAAATGGCCATTATCAACCATGTACTGCCTAAGCAATCAGAAGTAGTTACTGTTGTGTCAGGTTACAGCAAGGTTTTCAACAAAATGACCACAAAGGTCAGTCTTAAGGCAAGTATTTAGTGAACGATGACGTTTTAGATATCTGAAATGAAAAAGCATGACTTTTGGAAAGAAATTTGCAACTTGGGTGAGAAAATTATAAAAGTTCAGAAAGCAAAAGTAATTGTGGCATGATTTAAGAGCTTAATGTAGCCTTTTTTTTTTTCTCAAATTGAGGAAAATGAACTAAAAGTAAAATTGTCCTTGATCTCTGTTTTGAATGCTTTAAAAAAATACCTGGTGGTGGGAACCAGCAGTTAGCGTAATGGCTATGTCGCTGGACTCCCACGTAGTCGACCGCGGTTCGTGTCCCGGACCCGGTGGCTTAAAACTCACGCCGGGTGCGTGTGCGTGCGTGCCCAAGATCCCGAGAGGAGAATGGAGGAGAAGGGATTGCGGCGTGACCATCCCCCCTGGGGGGTGATTTCTCGCTTTCTGTCTCTATGTCTCTCTCTGTCTGTCTGGCGAGCGCACGCGCCCCACAGTGAAAATCTCTCCAAAAAAAAAAAATACCTGGTGGTTAAGGCAGCTGGATCCCACATGGTCAACTGCATGGTTCATTCCCAGGCCCAGCAGCTTAAGAAATAGTGCGTGTGCGTTCCTGCCCGAAATCCTGAAAGGAGAATGGTGAAGGAATTACGACATGGTCATCTTCTCTGGGTAGTGCTTTCTCTCTCTGTCTCTTTAGTGAGGGTATGTGCAAGTTAAAAAACAAAAGTGAAAACGCAGTAGCGCCAGCCCCATAGCATAGCGGTTAAGTACTGTGCATAGGGAATCAGATCCCATGTGACTAACCAGGGTTCAAACCTAGCCTCAGTAGCTTGAAAAACAATATCAGATCCCATGTGACTGACCAGGATTCAAACCTAGCCTCAGTAGCTTGGAAAACATACCAGGTGCATGTGAATGCCCTGAATCCTGACAAGAGGTAAAAAGGATTGGGTGTGACCATGTCCCACTGAAGAGTACTTTCTTAGGTGTGAATGTGTGCCCTGGCAATTCAAAATAAAGACTAATAATATATGGACAAACTCAAAAGGGTCAGATAAAGAAAAACCGATAAAGTGTACACATAGCTTTTTTCCTTTTCTTTTTTCTGGGGGGTAGGAGGGGGTAGACTTGCAGTAGAGCACGTGTCCTTGCTGGAGAGACAGACAGAAAGTGAGAAATCACTCCCAAGGTGGATGGCCACCCCACAATCCCTTCATTCTCTTCTCAGGATTTTGGGCACACACGCACACACCCCTGGCGTGAGTTTTAAGTCACCAGGTCTAAGACTCAAACCACAGTTGATTATGTGGGAGGATAATAGATAGCATAACCACTATGCCATCTGCTGGTCTCGACACATAGCTTTTATAAAGCAAGAAAGATGACGAGAAAAATATAAAAATAGTTTAAAATGTATACTTAAGCATTCACCTTAAGCAGAATATCCTCTTGAACTTAACCCATCAAGCAGGTTCTGTCATGGATCCTACTGGAGTGATTCTCAAGTAATAGATCTAGCACTAGAAAATTTAATCCCAGCTTAGGAAGGAAGATTCTAGCTTCTTCTCTAGTTCTCTATTTAGAGAATGCCAGTTTCACTCCAGTAGACAACCAAAAAGATGGGTCGAAGGATGGGCTCCCGACACCCTGAAGTCAGAATGGTGACACTGTCAGCTGTGGGTGAGGAGAGCTAGTCAGAAAACAAGCATCAGATGACTTCTTCCTAATCAGAAGTTTTGCATATGTTCTTTATTTACATCTAATTGGTGGTGTGTTTTTATATGTGTGTTTAATTATGTATTTACCCTTTGTGTAAATTCCTTCTGTAGCATTTATGAAGACTAGCATTTGATCTAGAAATGACTCCAACTAGGACAGGACGAAGAAAGTAAATCAGGAACAGATGTGTGGCTCCTTAGCTTCACGCTGTTATTGTAGCTCTGTATTTAAGAAAGAGGAACTGGAGCTAGGGAATCCAGCCATCCCCAAGTGTCTCTGGATGCTCATCTTAAAGCTTTCTGACCCAGTAGAAACTGCTTTATTTCTTCTGGCATGTTGCTGATCACCATCTTCCCCCACCTACGTGCTACGATTAAAAACAAAACTAGTCGCATTGTATTGGGCTGTCAGAAAAGTCATGACGTATTTTTTTCTATGC